GACTTAAACAACAAACCCAACCTTTCATTGTCAAGTAACAACATTTATTCAGCACACATGAAATTGATGCGAAGCCATCATCAACCAGTGGGATCCACTTACTCATTTTAGTTGTACAACTCTCAATTCAGAGAGTCCAGTGACAACCACAGGGCTCTTTTCTTATTAGCATATGCATTAAAAAGGTTAACTGCTAATGCAAGAAAATTAACATGTTACAGATACTGGACAACAAGCTACACAAGAACTCTATTTTACGACAAGTTAAGAGAAGCAGTTCTGTGTAGGTCTTCCATGAATATAAATACCTTTAATAATAATAATAATAATAATAATAATAATAATTATTATTATTATTATTATTCTAATAACTAGCCATTTTTGCTGCTGTGTTTCTCTAAATATATTTATAAATGTTTGTATTGATCTTATATTATTTTAACAATTTTAAAAATATTATGATCTGGATGTTAATGTATTTTTTCTGGTTTATGTATGTTGCACGTTTTTATGAATTGTGAATGTTATTGTTGACTTTTTGTACTGAGCCCTGTGGGAGAACAGTAGATATGCTACAGAACAGGTTTTCCTAGTACACATAATAAATAAATAAATAAATATATATACTGTATATATATCTTCACATATTTACATAATTGATTTAACTCTCATGCAGTAAATGTTTTAAATTCAAATTGTAAATAATTTATTATTTGTATTTTTCCACAGGCGTTTTATACATTTTTTTGTTTGTATATATTTTTGTTAAAGAGAACCAATCTCCATGAATAAATATAATATAATATAATTGTATCTTCATATTATATTACAGTATTTCGTTTTGCAAGCACGGTAGTCTAATGGTTATGACATCAGGCTAGTTATCTGAAAATCGTGGGTTCAATTCACACTTGAATAATTTGCACATTTCTTTTCGCAAGAAATTGAAAATCTACTGAGTGTTCGGTACGATAATACGTCAGGTAGGGAAAAACCTCACTCTGATATTTTGTTGATGCAAACACAAAACATTATAGTATTTGCAACACCCACTGCTACTTGGGGATAGTATTAAATACTAGTCACTAAGCGCAAGTTTGGTGGTCTAGTAGTTATGACACCAGGCTAGTTATTTGGAGGTTGTATGTTCAATTCCTACAGAATCACTTGCAAATTTTGTCTGCAAGTATTGAGTATGATAACACATCAGGTAGGGCAAAACATCACTCCTATATATTACAGATTTTGCTCTAATTCTCAACGGCGGTCCATAGTTCACCGACGGAGGCTAGGTTCCCTCTGACCAATTGCTAGCACAGCCACAGCTTTTGTACAGTTCCTCTGGTCAAGCCCAGCACTTTGAACCCAAAATTGGGCAAATTTTTTGGATTGCCTTATACCTGGGGAATCCCCTTTTTAATCAACTATTTTTTATCAACTATAACACTTACTTGTCATTGCTATTTGTTCAATATTCAGTTCTTATAATTTTATAAATTTTTAAAAAAGAAAGCAATTTTCAGGTTTCTCCCTAACTTATAGATTATTTGTCGCTTTCCTTTTTCTCCTTTTTTTCTTGGGTACGGAAATTTTGATATTTGAATTGTCTTCGTTTGAAATGTCAATTATAAATCTTGTTGGGGAATCATCATCCATTTCGTTCGAGTTTGTTCCTTCCGGTTTAACATATTCCGTGAGCAAAGATGGGTTTGGTGCCGTAGCTGTTGGGGATCCATTAGGAAAGTGACGTGAACAAATCATTGTTGTAATTTTCGGACAGAATTTTTTCTGATCCAGTGGCATAGCTGCCCTCACTAATCTCAACCACTCAAGCCTTGTGTGCGGCTGGAAACTAAGGGACGGGAACGTAAACATAGCTGGTCGGAACTCTGAGTTTCCGGATCGGTACTTCATCCGGATGTCCGAGAACGGACAGGTTGGTATCACACAGCAGTCCTCGTCTGATTTGGCCCAGTTAGTACAGGTATCTTTGTGTTTAACCTTTACATTTAAGGTAAGCATATTACAAGGTTGTTTGGGTTCTGCAACGAAAATGGAACATTGATAAATATTAACATGTATTTCATTTTGAGTACTACTATGGAAGAAACTGCTATGAATGAATTTCAAATGGCGAGTACAGTTACTAGGGAGCTTTTGATCGGCGTGATGATGCAAAGCTGGAAGGGATTCACTCATCCGGGATCATCATACGTTCTCTGCACAGCATAGATTCGGGCCAAATCGTGCCCTAGAATCCAGGCATGTGTAGGTGACTTCTTAGCAATGCCATTACGTTCTACTGTCGTGCAATCGAAAGCACCCTACTGTTACTCAGTGAAAGCACCATGAGATTTCACCAAACAGGGTCACAGGTCATCACCGATAGCAAATCAATCAAGGTGCTCGACAATAATTTCAAGTTCTTTGACAGGGGGGGTCCACCCCGACCTTAGCCCCACATTGGTATGAGCAAAGGCTCTAATAATACGCACCTCAAGGATGGGGAATTTTACAGATGGAAGGTCCAGACTAGGGGCCTAGGGGCTGGAGATGTACAAACATTTGTGTCTGAAAATTAAATTTGAACGCAATTTTCTTTTCCCACATTTTTTAAATTTATGGTGGAATGGGGGTGGGGGAAGGCGGGGCACCAATCCCTTGAATCTACCATTGTTAAATACCACAAAACCTTGAATTGAAGCCCTGGGCTTCTACTTTTTTCTTGCAAACTTTGGATGGGCTTCTTTTCGAGATGGGCTTCTTCTTGAGGCTACTTTTGCAATGTAAAGAGGAGGGCTTCTTTTCAAAATGAATGCTGTAAATTTTGGGAATTACTACTATAAAACTATAAATAGGGCCACTGTAACATCAATCTGTATCATTGAATGTATTAACTGGCATTAAATCACCTAATCACTGTATGAACCAAGTGTGTTTTTAATTTATTTTGTTGCTTTGAATTCAAGTACAGTGTTACAGGTACTGTACTGTGTCAAAAAAAAAAAGCTCATGCCATTTTGAAAAGAAGCCCATGGGTGATATGGGCTTCTTTTTGAGGCTACTTTTGCAAACTAAAGAGGGAGGCTTCAATTCGGGATGGGCTTCTTCTCGAGATTAAGCCCATTGGGCTTAAATTCAAGGTTTTACGGTAGATTAAATTAAAAGCTGCCACCTACGGTTCATAGACTCGACCTCAACTTTATCTGATGATGAAGGCTGTGTTTTCTGCTGTTTAATTTTTGATAACCCACATCCTGGATTGTTATCTGACTGAATCCTTTTTTGGTTCAATATGTTAGCTTTGAAGTGCAGACTACAGAAAAAAGATGTATGGTTCTCTAGTCCAACATACAGTGTACTTGACATGAGTTTCTTTAGGAGATTCCTTCCAATTGAATCATCACACAGCAGATTTAGAGAATAGTAATTGATAATTTTTCTAGAGCTGGGGTGTGATTTAAAGTCGGGCCCATAACGACAATTCCGGATGCAGCAATATCGCTGAGCTTTCTTGGCGAGTTCTGTCTCATTTGACAACACATTCTGTCCGAATAAAACAGGATTAGGAAATTTTTCCGATGGACATCCATCGATGAAATGTTTTCCACAGATACTGAGTATTTCCTCAGAGATAACTGTACCGAACTCATCCTCAAGGATTTTGTGCCATGCACTACTCCTTTCAACGTCCCCGCCATCAGGGTAATGAAGCAGAAATCTAGACTTTCGATATTCTGATAGAATGTTGTTGCAGCAATTGGGAACAACACAACCAACTTCTTCAAAATCTACAGAATGAATGAAAAAACAAAATTAGTATTTCCTTTTTTAGAGAAAATGTGTCCATTGAAAATCAAACCACAACCTTGGCCTAGTAGTTAAAGTCAAATTGCTGGTGAAGGGTTTACATCTGATCTTAGAGTAGGCCTAACATGAATAACAGTGGCGGACCAAGGAATTTAAAATAGAGGGGGCCCAGGAAGGAAATTTCAGAGGTGGATGATCTATACCTAATTCCCCCCACAATAGTTGAGGCTGAGGTACGGCAATTTATGATTTTATTTATTTATTTTTTTGGAGGGGGGATGGGGGTTCTGAACCGGAATTCCCCCACCGCCTCGGAGTATCATAAAACCCAAGCTTGTACAGTACAATGTAGATAATCCACAATGGATTTTTTTTATAGCAAAGTGCACAGTACCATTGAGTTATGCAGGCTGGGTTTTTGTTTTTTTTACCACAGTTGAAAACGATTTTGTAAATAAATTTATCTTCTTTGGTGTCTCATAAATTACATTAAATTAATCTTTCCTTTAATTCTAATTTATAGTTTTCAGAAAAAAATTATCAATGACTTGCTACAAATATGAAACAAACAGAAGATCCAATTTATAACATATTTTAATCTGTAAAGACAAAACAAGTGAAAAAATATCATAGAAGTTTATTGCTTTGGTTTTCACTTTGCATGGTGTTAATATGCCCTGTGAAAATATATTGATGTACTGGAATCTGAGAATCAGGTAGTTGTTTGTTTTTAATGTTTTGTAACTCTAAGTACTAAACTTACTTGGCCTTTCTGAAAATTGGAATAGTTCTGCACCAAATTCCTCGTTCATGATCCTCTGCTTTTTGGTAATATTATAGTATAGTATCTGTGTTAGAAAATTGATAGAAAACTACTGATCAGAATCAACATATTCACAAGCACCAAGAGAGTGGGGTTGGGGGGGCAGTGCCAATACTGTAAAGTGTGAGTGCTTCCAAAGATGGTAAAAATGCATTTCCATGTCTTCATATTTCTAAAGTAAATGACAAATTTCTGTAGCAGCTAATAATTTGCCTTAAGTGCAAGATGTGGGTTGCTCAAAATTGCACATAGCTTGTCGGGCAGTTGGACTAAAAGAAATATATAAATAGGCCCACGCCAAACCAACACGTCTGTCACAGTCTGAAAGTGTCATTTCTGGCCATACAGAGGTTGCTATTCTTAAAAAAATCTCATTTGGGAGGAGGAACTCCCCTCTCAAACCCTTCCTCCAGCTCGGGCCTACGAGCTCAAGTCCCCCAGTTGGACAGCTCAACTCATTTGGTTTATTGCCGTTCTGACTTATTACCGTTTTGGTTTATTGCCGTTTAGACTATTCTAGGCCAGGCCTCCCTATTAACTCTAGGCCTAGCTAGCCAGGCCCGCCTACCTACCTAGTAGTAGGGCCTAGGCATAGCTTAGTAGTAGTAGTATTATAGTAAGTAGGCTAACTACTGTAGTAGGCCTAGCCTTCTAGGCAGCGCATAATCATCTTCCCCTGAAAGGCTTAGCCAATTGCAACATGTAAAAGTAATGCAATATACTTACAGCAAATGAGTGTTTTATCACATTAGGTTCTACTAGCCTAGGGGCCAACCTAGGATAACATTTTTATTTATTGTTTCTTTTCTGTGTGGTTTTGAGCAGTATATAATTTTATTTTATCTCCGTCTTCACGTAGTTGGCGCTCTGCAAAAACTTTTCTCAGATTTTCTACCCGTTCTATTTCCTTTTAATTTAAAAAAAATTCAAATCAAATTACATCAAGGGGAAAGTAATTTAAGCCACCCCAAAAAAGTAAAATTGTAGATCAATATGTATGAATAAAATTAAGCTCAGCCCCCACCCCCTAAAAAAAATTATCAAAACTGTATTTAAATAATAGTATCTGAAAGCCTAATTAATTAATAGACCCCCAATTTTTAAGAAAACATATTAAACGACATACATTTCGCCAACAATTTTTCTTCTAAGCAAGCAACCTCCTTGTTGTAAGTAAGGCCTACCTTGTGGCGAGATGGTCGACAGATAACGCGCCCCGATGTCACTCACCTAGATGAGTGTCATTTTCGATGGAAAAATATTTCGGCTAAGATGTTTCACCGAACAGGGATAGGCCTATGTCGCAATGTCTTTTCTGCAACCCCGATACTATACCGTGGGTGGGCTTTTTTTTTCAGAAAAAAAGGTGGTAACTCTCAAAGCGGGATTGCTGATAGTGTTCAGGGAATTTTACCAATTTTTATAATTAGTTCTCAACTTATTAAAGAACATTTATCAACTTTCTAATTAAATGCCTTCTGTGTTGTCAAGTGCGAGCTTTTCTCATTTTGTTTGTAGTTTTGGTGTTTTCAATATTTATGATTTTTAGTCAGTGTATTTAAAGTGTACTCCAGAAATGTGCCGATCAAGATAACACCACCGTGGGGGGTTTTCTAGACGCCCGAATAGCCCTACTTTTGAGGCGCTTTGGGAGATTTTTTTTTTTTTCGTTTTCTTTATCTCATTTTTCTTTTCTTCAAAGGGGGGGGGGGGGGGGGGGGGGGGGCGGAGCCGGCCCGCCCCCCCCCACCATCAACTCCCCTGAGTGTTCTTGACTGAGGCTGTTTAACGTATTTTGTTGTGAATTGTAAAATCTATCCTAATTTTCTAATTTTTGTTATTTTTACTTCTCCGTTACAGAGGTTACTTGAATAAAAAATAATGATTGATTGATTTTCGAAACCCAGACTCAACCGCCTGTGACGAACTACAAAAAAATGAAATTAAATAATATCGGAAGTGTATGATATTTATAAATAAATTACTGTATTATAATATTACCGTAGTTTTCAATTGAAAATAACAATGAGAAACAAGAAATTTCCTTACCACTCAATGTATACACATTAAAAAGTTTGTCAGTGTCATACTTTGCAGGGCGGCCTGTTTTCTACAAGGCGAATTTATTCCCGCGAATCGAACGCGGGAAAAACTCCGATAGAATTTTGAAATTCGCCTGGAAAACAGGCTTTACTGGTAATCATAGAATTTTTGCAGTAGGCCTATAACGTCTGTGAATTAGAGAAACAGAATCATTCTCAGGGGCGGATTTAGGAAGGGGAAGCCCCCCCCCACCAACTTTTGGAAAAATTAAAAAAAAAAAAAAAAAAAAAAAAAAGGAAAGAAGAAAAAAAAAAGAAAAAGGAAAAATTGATCGCCCAAAACGCCTTAGCGGTTATTTTCGGGCGTCTAGGAAACAAAATGCTGAAGGACCCTCCGTAAGGCGGTGTTATCGCGATCGACCCCCCACCCACTTTTCGGCCACCTTCGCCCCGCTCTCTCCCCCTTTGACATCTCTGGATCCGCCCTTGATTCTGTGGTCTGCGTTTTTATGCAAGTTATTGAATTCTTCAATTCTTTTAATTGAACAATTATTTTTTTATTTAATGCTTGAGGTTTTCCATATTTACTACGAATCCCGATAGAGACACGTGTTTCTTAAATATTTATTGTCATCTTTGATTACCATTAGTGGAGGTGTATCTCCATACTAAAGTTACTATCATGTAAATAAAATAAAATCACCTTATTTGGAAATTGCACCTTTGTATCTTGGTGCATCCATATTGAAAAATACAAAGCACAGTACAGTATTACACCAAACACAGTAACACGGCTACATAAGTACGTTTTCAAAAGATAATAACTTATCAACAATTTTGGAAGGGACTAATTTATTTTATTCCAGATCCCAACAGTGTGTGGAGACACCAATACGATTACGAGGGTCGCAATAAAATGGAAAATACAATAATTATAAAATAAAATATGAAAAATATAGTTTAATTTAGTAAACTATCAGTAATAAGGTACTTAAGATAACATAATAAGATATGTACAAAATATAACTGAAGCATTTAAGATAAATGAAATAAATAAAAAATAAATAATAAATAAAACAGATACATAAATGAATAAATAGCGCCCCCTCTAGGATGACTTTCCCGCGTCTCATCAAATCACTCAACCAAAAAATCCCCTCACCTTAGCTTGTTGGTTTTGAGCGGTCTGTTAGCTTTTTACTCGTCTTTCGTCCCCGCTCCCCGTTTCTGTTTTGCAGGTTAACTGAAAGTAAGTATTACAACGGACTTATTTTAAAAATATATACTAGCATTTCAAACTTAACTGATTGATTTCATTCGTTGATAAAAGCAAGGAGGTAGGCTAGGTAGATCAAAGTTCGTTATTGATTGATGTCGCCGGTTTCAGATTCAGGCCCCCGGTATTTTATGTGATCTGGTTGAGTTGAGCGGAGCCGCTCTTCCTGCTGGAGCGAGGGGCTTTTTTTATTTAGTCGCTGTGTCTGTCACGTCTAAAATGACTGTAACAGATTAAGATGCCGTTTACCGACGTTGGTGCATTTTTTATTTAGGCCTAGCTGCCTACCTAGGCCTCCAGTTTGATAGCACTGAACATGCTAATATAATAGGAAAAGCCTCTCTGAGAGTGAGGTAATTATAAAGTAACATGTAATGTTTTAGAAGAAGGGTAGCTCCTAGACCTAGCATGCCTAGGCTAAGTGTGGTTTTCATGAAATTGCTACATGCCACCACTAACAGCTTTCGGCGACGCTGATTGGTCAGGTGATTTAGGGAGAGCTATTACAGTATGATACACAAACAAAGCTACAGTAGTATCTGAAAATAATAAAATCTGACTCCAGTGGTCAAGGACTTGTGTACATGCCAGCTATGATGTGAGATGGCATGGGCATAGGGTGGGTTTTTTGAGTGACGACACCCCCTCCCCCCCCCCATAATGCAGAAAAAATTATAATCAACCTTTAATTGATGTCTGAGAGCTCCTGCCATTTCTGGACATCATAATGTCCAGAATTTCAGGTATCATAATCATACATTTTCTTGTTTTAGCACAACCATGGTGGGCCTGAGGGGGTATAGACTCTCCATTTGTGATAGTCCCTCCCTGGGGCCTGGATTTGCCACTGGCACCCACCCAGACTGAAAACCAGGCTACACCCCTAGATACTGTAGAACTACTATAGGAATATGGGCAAGTTAATGCTTACCATAACTTGTATTTTTATAGAAACATGGCTCCACGTCGATCCAGTAGAAGAAGTCGCCCTCCAACACGATATGGCTACTCTGCACGCTATGAGCCATACCCAACGTCTCGTAATGCGGAGCGCATAAGTGATCTCAGGGTTCAACCCGGAAGGCGTAATGTCTCCGATGCAGCTATTGTGATCCCACGTCCACCATCATCAGGCAAGTGAAATTGTTTTTATTAATGGGGGAGGGGCCGGGCCAGCCCCATTCCCCCTTTGGAAAAGTAAAAAAAAAAATAAAGAAAAAATTTATTGCCCAAAACGTTTCAGGTTATTGTCGGGCGTCTCTGGATCCCCTCTGGTGGTTTAGAGGCTTTTAATCCTCATTTTGTTGAATTACTGGCAATAATATTTCTTAAAGTAATTGTTGTTTTTTGTTGTTACCATATTTATTCGAATGAACGCCCTGCTTTAAACGCCCCTCTAGAGCCTCATTTGGAATATACTTCTTCCTCGAATCAACGCCCTGAGGCGTTTATTTTTCCTCGAATAAACGCCCAGTTAAATAAATAAATAAACAAATCTAACAGAAGCATCATCATTCTCAACACATTATATTATTGTTTTACTCGAGTAGAATTACATTTTTTTCAACCTGTTTTGGAATAAGACTTGATGGTCACAAAATTTAACACATATTTAACACTTCTCAAAAATAAATGCCCCGGGGCATTTATTCAAATAATATGGTACTGTATTACTATTTTATTATAATTACATTGTTATTACTAGATTATAAATATTATGTGTAAATTGATTTTTTAGCTGGACAATTAAAAATAAAGAGCATAGATATGCTATTAGCAACAAACAAACATGACCATCACACGAGTGAATATGAAATTGACGAGTTAATTTTAAGAAGAGGACAATCTTTTAATATGGAAATTGAGTTCCAACGCGACTTCAAGCAAGGCCAAGATGACATCATAATTGAGCTTCGATTTGGTAAGTATGTTCAAAGATATAGGCCTACTGCCCATGCAGCGGGGAAGGTGGGGGGGGGCCTCCAGAAATTTGCCGACGGAGGTCCGACATATCTGACAAGGGGGTCAGCTAAAGCCTCGGTCAGATCCCGGTGGTAGGGTTCATCGGAAGAGTTTTTATGGCTTTGTGTGGTCCAAAATACTTTTAGACCACAATGTTAGGGATTGGCAATCAGAATAACATTAGTTGGATAAGAAAATTAATATTTTTAGTCTGGCGATCTCATGATGGGTTGGACGAAGAGAAAAAAATTTCCCAACCCCCACCCACTAGTTGATTTGTATGAATTTGGTAATTTTTGTTAACATTTTTGCAGTGTAAAGTTACTGAGAGAGCACCATGTTGCTAAAATGAATTCATTTGTATTTTACGGATAAAAGTTATCTGTGTTGAATTGAATAATTGGAAATATTACTCACAAACATTTAATTATTTGGTCTTTTCAAGGATCAAAAATAAATTGTCAGTTAGGTAGTAGAAATTGAAATAAAACCAAAATATTGTCATATGTACATATATGGTAAGTTAGCAAAGAGTAGGATATTAATCACTGTCTTATTTAATAAGTGGTAATCCCTTAGACATTACAAACATGCAATTAAGATGCTCTACATGTGGTCACCAGGTGATAAACATAATACTGAAAAAATTTAAAGCCTTCAAATTAGGGCAACGCAAATCATGGGGTTCGATTTCCACCTGAATCACTTGCAAGATTTTCTTCGCAAGTATTTGGGAATAAACTGAGCATTCAGTATAACATGTCAGGTAGGGCAAACATCATTTCATACAGATCATAATGTTCAAGAAAGAGGGCAACTGGGAGACATCCTATCACTATAGCTTGAAAAACCCTCAATATTTTACGTATAGAGAATGTACTTCTACAGTACACAAACTCGTCTATAGGATTTAAAATTATGAGAGGCTTTTGTCCTCCCTTCTTTTTTGATGAGTTTATTAAATTAAGTGAACGGTGCGAGGGCAGACTAATATATTGGAATGCTAAAGGCAGTATTTTAAAAAGTTCAGCATGTTTCATTTCCAAAACTGTGACGGGAACGGATATTATCTATTCAAGAATCCTTTATCTAGGTTGTAGTCTGTAGAAAAATAATGTGGGTTGTAGACATTTTAAGGGTGGGTGGGTGATAACATCGGTAAACTCTAAATAATATGAGTGAATTTTAAGGATGGAAAAATGGGGTTAATAAGGGTGGATGGAGGGTCATAAAATTAGCATTAGACTGGGTGGAAAACTTCAAGGCTCGGTGGCCCCGCACATCTCCGCCCACCATTACCACAGCCCTGCCATATCAATTACAAGTTTTAAGTTTGCTCTCACCATCTCTCACCAAGCACTATATCTCATTGTATTGATATTAACTGTTTATGTTTGCTTACTTTTTATAATCTGTTTATTTATGACCTTTGCCTTTCAATTATTTTTATCAATCTGTAGTTTACTTAAGTCTGCTCTCAGCAAGCACTATATCTCATTGTATTGACTATTAACTGTTTATGTTTGCTTACTTTTTATAATCTGTTTATTTATAACCTTTGCCTTTTGATTATTTTTATCAATCTGTAGTTTATAACTTTACTGTATGTTTAAATTTTGTATTTATTTGTGTAACTTATTGAAAATTACAAAATTATTTTTTCTCCTGGCAAACGATATATCTACTTGACTGGCAAATAAATATTATTTAGGCAAAGGAAGGCCTGTTTATACTTGCAACGATAAATGATAAAAAGCTAAAAAGCAATTTTTCATATAGAAAATAAAAGAAATAAGAGTTTTTACACTAGGACGATTCGATAATGATGACTTATCTTGTATACAATAAAAAATAATTTCACAAATCAATTCAAATGACGTTGTAATCATTGAAAAATGATTAAATGATATTAGTAACAACGATTTTATCGTTTTTCCATAGTTATGACGTCATTTGAAATGATTTGTCAAAATATTTTGTTATCGTATATCGATAAGTCATTATCGAATTGTCCTAGTGTAAAAACATTTATTATTTATATTATTTTCTATGAACAATTGCTTTTTAGCTTTTTATAGTTATTGTTAACGTTGCAAGTATAAACAGGCATTTAGAGAGTGGAGGTTTTTTTTTCCCATGAGAAAAACAAAAAATCTGTTCCATAACAGGAATTAAAGTTAAGGCCTTGAAATTTGAATGCAAGCGTCTTTAACCACCAACTCAATTTCAATTTAAATAATTCAAATAATAGTAATACTATTTAACAATTTGAATTTGAATAATTGCGGGTTCAAGGAAGTTACTCATTGCATCAGCCTTGGGCTTATGCAGCTGAACTGAAGACAGCCTTGGGAGCCAATGAAAAGCAAGCTCTAAGCAGGAAGTGAATTACCCTGGATTTCTTTTGTTAACTGAAAATGCTGTAGCCTAGCGTAGGCATTCGCTATGCATTTTACTTAATAATGCTTCATAATTTTTTGTGCTTGAATTTTCATGTGCTAACAAAAGAACATTGTACACTCACTCTTGCAACGATTTATAGAATATCATTAGAATTCATTTCTTGGATGATGATGGCTTATAATATTCTACAGGTCCTCATTAAAGACTACTTTTAAGGGCCTGTTTCTGCTGGGAAAAAAATTAATTAAAAATTACTTTTTTACTCGCTGTAGAAACTGGACCATTTTGAAAAAAGCGATTAAAAAATGGTTAGCGTGCTTGAACGGCAAATAACCGATTTTGAATGTGCGCTTTCTAGCTGCAACACAAAACGTGATTATCATCAGGCGAAATGTGACCTCCAGGTGCGTCAAACCACTGCAAAGCTGGCTCGTATCTGTCACACATGAGTTTGTTGATGTCCTAGGCCTAGAAGCTAAAACGTCAAAAAACATGTATGTGGTTAGGGGAATATTGGGCCTAGGCCTGTCCGCTCTTCTGGGCCTACCGTTTTCTGGGCACTCATTAAAAAATTGGTTTTAAAAAATATAATTATTTTGTGTTTACTGTATTAGTAGAAGCACACCTTATGACCGGGGTTTCAATGGTGTTTGAGAGCCTGCGGGTTTAAGCGAACGATTGCACTCCCTAAAATCTTTAGGGATGTGAAAAATAGAGCACCTTGCATTGAAAATCACTGACCTTATATCTAGTAAAACCCCCCAAATACTGCAGCAATTCTTTTTTTTTTTAAATTTTAATCAAAAAGTTTAATTTTCATAAATACACAATACTGTATACATATCATTTCCAATCTGGCAGAAAATTGCTGAAAATACAAAATAAATATGGTAACCTAATTATATCTTTTATTAAAAAGTAAAATTATAAAGGTTATCACCACCTTCCTACGATCTAAACTTCTAATTGTTGTAGTACTGCTAGTCATTGTGCATGTGTTTGTTTATAAATAGAAATCCAGATGATGCAGGCTTATAATTAATTATATTAATAGGAGCCTGTGAGCTGCATGGAATATAGTATATTCAGTTACTAAAATAACTTAAGTACTTTAATGCAAGTACTAGCTGTATATGAATAAATATGTTGGAATATTTTTTTCTGCTAGAATGTATTTTTTGTGTTGTTGTGAACAATACTTTGATGACTGCAGTAGTAATCATGTGTATAGAGTATTCCAGCTTAAATTTACCCCTTACCCCAAATAATCACTTGCCTAAAACAAAATTAGTTGTTTTTTAGCTCACATGCAATTTACAAATAACCAGCCCTGGTCTTTAGCAGCTTTGGTCTCTAAATAGAATAATAAGACATTTGATAATGTAGTCAGTAGACTGAACTTTTCCATGTTTGTACTAGCATACAGTCTTTCTTCCACCTATTGTAGTTAATCCTTTCCACATCACCTTCTATATTGTCTTGTGAACCATTTTTGTAGATAAGATTACTCTTCTATTTAAGTGCCTGCTTTTGTATTATCCAGCCTGAATCTTGAATTGCTGATTGCCGAATAAAAATCTCAACTTTGTGACATATACATTGTTGTACTGACTCTGTATGTTATAGTATGTTTCATTTATAGCCTATACCCGTTACAATAATATGAGGCCACAGAAAAGTGGCCTTTAATTAATTAGAGGGAGACCAATATTTAAATATTAAAGGTATCAGTGAAGACAGAAAATGCAACCATTCTTGTGTAATTATTTATGAGAAAACATGTCAAAAAACAAAAAGTCTGTTCAGTAACTAATTATTTAGCCTGGCTAACAAATTATGATAGGCCTATAGAGAAACAATGATAAGGTGGGATTATTTACTTCAGTGATGAAGTTAAATCTTTCATGATTCTTGTACTGATACTTACATTACATATTTAATACTGCCATGTGTTAAAGGTATCCAGACGAGGTAAATTAAAGTAGTGTGCATTTCAGTAGTTATGATTGGGGCATTTAACATCATAATATGACACAATAAAATTATTTATAGTTTCAATTTTGAAGGTATATCACTTGCGGTCTGAAGAGAAATGGGATTATGTATTCTTTGCAGTACAGATAGTGAAGAAGACAAGACACTTTTTATTTGTTTGTTGCGTTCTCTTAAACATTTACGTTTAGAGGAGTTAAATAAACTTGATTATAAATAAAATAATGATATTTGGGATCAATTTTTGAATGCTAATATTCAATTAATTTATGTCTTAGGCTCCAGTACTCTTTCTCAGACAAAAGAAGTCGATAAATTCTTTGATGAATTTTGTAAAAATTATATACTATATAAAACAAAATGTGCGTATGGTACCTCTGAAGAATTGACAATGTTCAAATAAAGAACAAAACGTAGAATCAATTATGAATGGCCTCACAGTCGTCATTCTTCAAATTTACCATAAATCCTTGAGTAAGCGCCACTCTCTAATAAGCGCCGCAGCAGATGTGATGATTTTAGCCAAACGCCGCTCTCGAATAAGCGCTGCAGGGCATTATCAAGAGTACATATTCAGCACAACGACGCTGCAAGTTAGGGGTTATTCTCCTACCTTTACCTTTACATATTACCCTGTGTGTAAAGAAGCATTTTGAGAAACAAGGTTCTAAATACAGTGTTTACAGTGTTCAAATGGATAATAACACAATGAAGACCCAAGCAGATCTTTATTAACGTTTATTATGTAGAGCCTAGATAGGCTATCGAAATCCTGTACAGTACTGGGTATGGATGGCCTTTAAATAAAATAAATCCTACATGTGCTTAGGCAGTATTCATGGTAATACTTTAGATAGGTAACCTGGGAATGGGCATAGAAAGCGCCTCTTCCATATTTTTTTAATAAGCGCCTTTCTCGAAAAGTGCCACTCTCGAATAAGCACAGCACTGAAAGCCTCCAAAAATTTTGTTGTAAGTGCTGCAACGCTCATTCAAGAATTTACACTGCTCATATTTTATTTTCGAATAATCAGTGGATCCTTTGGTTTATAATATAAAACAAATGTGGAAAAACAGATCTGAAATTAAGCATTTTCAAACCTTTGTTGTAGATGAAGTCTAATGTATTACTGATTAATTAATAGTTCATTTTTTCCCTCTACTGTACTGTAGTATTAACTGATGTTACAAGTGGCTCTTAAAAATTCATGACAAGTGGAGCATAATTATTTTTTTATTTTTTCAAGTTTTCAAAGGGCTGCTAGTACCTGTCTCATCAGCCAAACTACTTATCTTTGTTACGTATTGTACTTAAGAATTATGTGTTCAATATTATGTGTTCAATATTTCGACATAATTATGTCATCATCAGGAATCAATCAGTACTGAAAAAAATAACCAGAAAACAGTATTTGATTATTCATTATTACCCTTCATTTTGTTTCAATCCTGAATTGTAGCAGCATAAAATTGCTGCTTTTAAGAAGTATTGTAGTAAATGTATATAAACAAAATGTTTCACTGGCAGTGTAGATGTAACAGCAGCATTACAAGAATTATGTAAGTTTTTAGTTATTAAATTGAATCAATCACCATGGCAAAAAACAATAAATATGACATCATCACTTTTTGATTTATAATTCAGGAGGAAATTTGTTGATCAGTATCGCAATATTTTAAGTTGGATTTTACTAATTCATTGATTCACCACATTACATTCTGTTGCCCATCAAAATAATTTGATTCTTTGTTTATTTTAGGAAAACGTCCTCGTGTTTCATACGGATCTCGCATTATCATACCTCTTGTCAAGAAACAAGTGGAAGGTGACTGGGGTGCCAAGGTAGTCAGTGCCAAAGGGAATAAGGTTTCCCTGTGCGTCTACCCAGGGGATGCTGAGATGATCATTGGGAGGCACGCATTGCTCGTGCGGACACTGGCCAATGGCTCTAATGAGTACGAGTTTGAGTACAAAGACGAAATTTACATGATCTTCAACCCCTGGTTCAAAAGTGAGCATTATCTTTTAACCTATCATTAAAATAAATTTTTATTTAATCCTGATAGTACTTTTTTGAGAAAGTAAGCATTTTCCCTACCATGATTCAATCCCAAGACGTTGAGGCAGTTTGGCACAGCGGGAAGGGTTTGGTTTCCCAAACTCGAGGTCTGGGTTTCAACCCCTTACTGTGCATTTCACTTGTGTCCTTGAGCAAGGCACTTTATCTGCATTGCTTCTCTCGACCCAGGTATATAAATGGGTACCTGGTGGGGTTGCCTGTTCCAGCGCTGATTACCAGCAGCAACAACCAGGGAAAGGAACTGCGCTTTATAACATCAAGGAAAAGGCTCATTATAAATGCCAGTTACAATACCAGTATCAGATTACCATTGCAGATGCTCTACCAACTATACTATATAGCTTGTTTACCTTAACAGTTTATGGGCTGACCAACTCTAAAATAGAGTCTTAAAACCAATTTTTTTATATTCTATCTGAGCTATTCCTAACAGTCTGTCATTTAAAAATGAACGTTATTTTCCTCCAGAGGGCGATGTGTACATGGAAGATGATAAAAAGCGGCAAGAGTATGTGATGAATGAGTACAATCTGTATTACTATGGCAGCAAACGCCAGATAGGTAGCTCACCCTGGTATCAGGGTCAGTTCGAAGCAGTGGCCTTGGAGTGTGCGTTGCTGCTTTTGGATAATTCAACCCTAACGCAGCCAAAGCGTGGAAATGTTGTTGAGGTGGCCAGAGCCATGTCAGCGATGGTAAGTCATTTTATTTTTTAGCTCTGTCGAGAATAGCAAATTTTCTTTGACAAAAGAAACTGTTGTATGCCCATATATAGTCATGATGTGATGTCATCATGACCATATTCAGGCATGTCACATGTCTTTGTCAAATCAAATTGAATATAGAGTAAATCCTTGCTGTGCCATAGGGCTGGAGATATCTCCAGTTTCAGGTAGTGTGAAGCGGATGAGAGTCACTGGAGTGTGATGTTGACCCTGGGTACGAGACTGTAGATGACTACCAGCAATTGGCTGGTACCCATTGATACAGCTGGGAAGACTAAAGCAATATAGTTAAAGTACGTTGCTCTGGGGCAAAAGCGAAATGCATGGCGAAGGAGAGAAATTAAATCATTTCCACTGCGGCAAACCAATTTCAGAATAGAACTACGGTCCAAATTAAAGAGAGTTTTAAAATAAGAGCATAAACTGTGGTAGGTAGTCTTTATAAAATCGTTTCTACTATGACAACTGACCAACGGTTGAAATAAATTGACCAATGATGTCATGCCAATGGTAGACAGAGCTACAAGTTATTGTTTGGCATGGGTGACGCTTACTACTACAACCTTAACATCGGCGCTGGTTCCAGTTATTGTTACATAGTACTAAACGGCAAGGTGTTTGCAAACACTTTACTGTGCCAAGCCGCCCTATTTCGGACATTTATCAATGTACAAATCATACATAGAAATTTGGGTTGGCTCTGTGTGATGTCACAAATACATACTCTACACAAACATGTGTACACCTACAATAAATACAAAAAAAAAAAAAAATTGAATACTATAATTATTTAGTGCCTTAATATGGCACAAAAAATGAAACATAGCAAAACATGAACAAGGATATAATTAAAATTAGGCCCTAAATATTATTTTTTAATTTTTGAAGAAAGCTAATGGATAGTGGTCCTTCATAAAGGAAAGCTGGGATTCAAATAACATAATTATTCTAATCTAAGAATTAAAATTAGTTGATAAGGTATTTTCATATTAATTGATGACAGGTGAACTCTCAGGATGATGATGGTGTCTTGGTCGGCAACTGGAGCGGCGACTACGAAGATGGTACATCACCGACCACATGGAATGGTAGTGTTGCTATCTTGGAGGAGTATATGAAAACAGGGCAGTCGGTCAAATATGGACAATGCTGGGTATTTGGCTCAGTCTTCACAACATGTAAGTTATTAACTATACTTCAAAATCTTAATTAAGGCAGGATTAGTATTGTAAATCTTTCAGTATAAGCCTATTGTTTATTAAATAATATCTTAGCGTAAAGTTTGGCTGCCCATTGCACTAAAATTTACAGTAATAAAAAAAGAACTGCAATTATTATTAGTTTATACATACAGGAATGATAATGACATAATTAATGTTGAAATATTGAATCCTGACACGATGGCATGCATTTTGATACTTGGAGTATGTATAATTATTCTATCTTATCCCTGAGATTATACATACAGTACATAACATAAATTATATAGCACTATTTCATGAAGATCAGAGCGCTCAAAGCAGGGACTGCATTAGCTCATACAGTACCTTTCTTCCCCCCCCCCCAAGGGTGTCATCGTGTCTGAGCTACTCTCCTCGGTCCACAACAGAGGTTGTATGGACCAGTACACCGGAGCAACCCCCTACTCGTCCTGAAAGGTGTACTGGGTTCTTTATAGTGCGCATGAACCAATTGTGTACACTGGGCCTACGGTTTAGAGTCCTTATCCGAGAAGACTTGTTCCACCACCAGAACCATAGGCGAGCAAGCCGTTCGAACCAGTGCTGATATTATGGCTGTATGTTGCCCCTGCCTTAACCGCTCGACCATTCGACTCGCTTATGGTAGTAATAGTGTAATAAATAGATTTTTTTTTTAAATGTTCCGTTTGCTCAAACATAGTGACATTTTAAAAATAGGGATCAGTCTGTCAGGTTCAACATGAGGAGCTGAAAAACTGTAACTAGATATATACAATATTTTATATAAATTACAGTATAATTTGACATCGAAAGTTACATTTTTTTCTCCTTTTGTCAGTGATGAGAGCTCTTGGTGTACCCACAAGAACAGTCACCAACTTTGGCTCTGCCCATGACGCCGATGCCAATCTTACACTGGATTATCATTACGACGAGAATGGTGATCCACTGGATGATTTGAACGATGACAGTATCTGGTAAGACACAGTAATCTTCTAAGTTCTATGTTAAAGTCAAAAAGTATTAAAAAGATGCTGATCAAAGCTTGTAATGCTGCAAAAATTGAAATTCAAAGTATACTAACTTTTATTTCTTAAATTGGCCTTTTGAATGGATGACATTTTGTGCTAAAAGTGTCATTACTGTAGTAGGTGGTGATCTTTTAAAAAATATTAGGGGAATACTTGAAGTGATGACAACATTTGTCTGGGGCAGGGGTCCCAAGTTTGAAGAAGTCACTTCTGGGATATCTGGTTAAATGAGCTTTTTCAACACATATAATTTTGTATTTTGCTCCACACAGTGACATCCATTGGCATTGACTTCCATGAGACAATTAATTGATAATGAAGAAGTATGAACATACAGATATTATGAAGATTTTTGCTTGTTTGTGGGAGACTCCCACGAGACTTATGACCCCTGCTGGTGTGCTGCCTAGAACCTTGGCAGTGTCCAGACAAACAGCCAGTGTGGTGACAAACTTCCAAATATCCAGGCCCTTATTTATTCTAGTATTTGAATTTTCAAATCTGGTGGTGTGTCAAGAGTGAAATCCTTATAAATCCAAGAATTTTGAAATTTTCTGTTTCTAATAATTTTAGAAACCTGTTCATTATTAAAAACTAATTTTCTCAAATTCACAGGGAGCGGGGTAAGGCTCTACCATCCTCACCATGATTTTTGGTTTATGATACTTAGTTACATCTTTTGCTCATTGATTTTAGGAACTTCCATGTTTGGAATGACTGTTGGATGGCCCGACCTGACCTTCCAGACGGTTATGGAGGTTGGCAAGCTGTTGATGCCACGCCTCAGGAGACTAGTGCTGGAATCTTCCGTATGGGACCTGCGTCCTTGACGGCTATCAAGAGAGGACATGTCTACTTGGATTACGACACCAAGTTCACATTTGCTGAAGTGAATGCAGAGACGGTTGATTGGAGAGTCAGTGACAACGGAAGGGTACGTCAATAAAATTTTATTTATCTTTTAAATTGATGTTGCGTAAACTAGGGGCCGCGAAGATTTTTTTTTAGTAAAACTGCTTTATTGATATAGTAAATATGCAGTTTGTATGAAATTTTGTTACTAATAGAACAGATAATGATGTCAAATTATTGTATATCGTAAGAATATGGAAGTAATTTTCATGATCAGAGCTTCTTGCCAGGTTTTGGTACATTGATATTACTATTTTTTCTCAAGCAAATGTAAACATTGACACTGGTACCATCATAACTACACTGTTGTCTTTTCATAGCCATACTTTAACAGGACCGATAGCTACCTAAATCATTTGCGATATTTTCCGCAAGTATTTAGTGATGTATTGAGCATGTAGTGCAATTTCACATTTTGTCTGATAGAACAACATTAATGTTATATTTTAAGTTGGTAAAACACCAATTGAAAATTTAGTTAAATCTGGTAACTTTGACAAATGTTTTTGGTTTTAAATTCAGAACTTTGAAGTCATTAGGACCGACTCTGACTATGTGGGCATGAACATAAGCACAAAGGCTGTAGGACGCGATGCCAGGCATGATGTCACAGATGAGTACAAGTTCAAAGAGGGTATGCTCTTATCTCATACTTTCCGCCTATATGATTTGCAATTAAATTGAATTGTTAATGTTAAAGACAATGTATATTTTTGTATATCACATGAAATGCATTCTAATCTTGCAGAGGACACTTCCTGAGTCTTCCCCAGCATGTCCCATCTATTTTGTCTTGTTTTTTTTTTTGTTGTCAAAGATTACAGCTGAGATCAACAGAAATAAAAAACTACAGCAGTTTAAAAGGCTGATATAAAACAAGTAAACATAGAGTCAATGTAAAAGTTCTATAAATATTTTTGTATATTACATGAAATGCATTCTAATCTTGCAGAGGACACTTCCTGAGTCTTCCCCAGCATGTCCCATCTATTTAGTCTTGTTTTTGTTTTGTCAAAGATTACAGCTGAGATCAACAGAAATAAAAAACTACAGCAGTTTAAAAGGCTGATATAAAACAAGTAAACAGAGCAGATGTGCTGTAAAGATGTGTGAATATACATCAGCCCATATTAAATTGTTCCTCCAATCAATAAGTAATCTTTCTCCAGTTCTATAAATATTTCTGTTCTTTTCCTCAGGGTCAGTTGAAGAGCGTACTGCCGTGGTGACTGCTCTGCGTACCATCCGCAAGAAGAAGCGTCTCAGACCGACCAAAGAATCAGATGTCACTTTCTCTGTCAGCGTTCCTGATGATGTCATGATTGGAAAAGACTTTGAAGTGAAGGTTACTGTCAAGAACACAAGTTCCTCAACCAGAAACCTCTTTGTCAACTTCAATGGCAAGACTGTCTATTATACTGGTGTCGTCGCTGGTCTAGCCATCCGTGAAAAGAAGACTGCTGAACTGAAGGGAAATGCATGTAAGTGGAAGAAAAATTTTTTAAACTAAAGAGAATCAATCACTGATCTTCAATCATTCAAGTTTTAAAAATCACGTCACTATGCTTTTGACAGTTCAGCCACAGCTAACTTCCCTTTTCTGATAAGAATTCAGGATTATTTCGATAAAGATTAAACCCTTATAGTCTCTCATTATGAGGCTTAGAAAGTGGAGTTGTTTTTGGCTGTGAGAATTAGTTAATAGTGACATACTGTTTTGTGTTTCCTTCAGCGACAACAATGGTCTTTAAGCTCCAAGCTGCTGAATACTTGCCTGAACTAGTGGATTATGCTGCCTTGAAGTTCTTTGTGATGGGAGGAGTGAAGCAAACAAAGCAGGCATTCTCTGGCACCTACGACTTAACCCTTCGAAAGCCAAAACTAGATGTGTCTGTAAGTTATAACCTCAGCATGTTTGAAATTTTTTTTTTTCCCAGACTCTTATTTTCCTGATGATAATTATTCCATCTGTGATGATCATGGTCAATGAATTAGTTTTCTTAGCTGCTCCCTTTATGGTGGGAAGCCAATAAGATAGTGTTTTTTCTAAGCAGCCCAACTTAAGAGTTGTAACTTGGTGGTTAAGATGCTTGCTTCCAATTCTAGGGTCCTAGATTCAAATCCTGCCATGTCTTTGGCTGCCGGAGGTCCACAAGCAACCAGTCAAACTTTCCAATTTCAAATGATAAATCAAAATTGGATTAACTTAAAAAATAATAATAAAATAACCCCCAATTGTACAATTTGATTTTCATTCCTTGCAGGTTGATGATAGCACCGTTACTGTTGGAGAAGCATTTAACCTGCTGGTGAAGTTCACCAATCCGCTGGACACTACATTAACCGAGTGCGTGTTCCGTGTAGAAGGTCCAGGAATCGAGGGCGCTAAAAACATTCCATACAGGTGAGTGTTCAGAGAATTAAACTGTAAGCACTTGAGATAATAATATAATAACTACCAAAAACCATGTGACATGCCTAAATATGGTCATGATGACATCACATCATGACCTTATATAGGCATATCATGACTATATATGGGATACAACAGTTTTTTGTCGAACATAATTTGATTGTGTGGATAAAGCTACTAGCAAGGCGAGACTTTTATTATACCTTGTTTAGCGAACCCGCGGCGCCCACCAATAATAATGATTTCAAATTTAAAAAAAATATTTTTGGCCAATCAGTACACCCTCTTCCACGAAAAAAAGAAACTTTCAGAAGAAATAAAAGTTTTTCTTTATTTTTATTACACCTGCCACTGCCTTGAAATCTCCAGAAATAAGAAATGTATGTTTCTTCCTAATTATATAAATTTAAAGCATTTAACTATCCTAATACTACAATGTCTATTTGAAAATCCTCCTCTGATGATCTTAAGGTAACTAAGATTCGCCTAATTGTAGTACTTTTTCGCTAATGCTGATGATCCACTACTTGCAACTATCTCTTTTCAAATGGCAAAATGTTTTCATTGTTGCAATTGAATAATTGATAATTACACTTATTAAATGAAACAGCTACTCGCATTATTTAATTACAATAATATATTTAACCTTGCACGGTGTGTGATAGGTTAGTAAGGTCTCATCTTTGTCATTTTCAGAAACATCAAGGCCAACGAGCACGTGCACTTGAGTGGTCGCTTGACCCCAAAGCGCAATGGAAACCGCCAATTCATCGTTGGTTTCAACTCCAAAGAACTCACTAACCTCACTGGTTCCAAGAGTATCAACATCTCTGCTTAAGCATCAGTACTAAGAAAGCCCATTGGAAATAAGATATTGTACCATAGAGTATTATTAAGTGCTTTTTTGCTTACGAGCTCTAAAATCTTATTCTTCCAAGTGAGGCTGTTTGTATCAAATTAGTTTTTTAAAACAGCAATTGATAGTCAACCGCTATACTGAACATAAATGTTTTTAACTTTTCTTAACAAGAATATTTTTGTATTTCATAATTGTAATACACTATCATCTTAAATTTTGGATACATATTTTTTTTTTTATAAATATGTATTTCTATAGATCTTTTTATAAAAAAAATAATACACATGGTGTATTGTACCAAGAGAAAAATCACGAACAGACCTAAATAAAATAAAGCAATTTCTAAGTATCGGTGTCTAGATGTAAGTTGATTTATTTTGTTAGATTAGACCTATGTTTTTTTTTTTTAAATAATTATACATATTGTTTTGCACATGGCACTAAGTGATGAATTGATAGAATTTCGTATTTTTTTAGCATTCATATCATTTAATATCTTGTTAATCGAAAAACTGCATAATCATTACGTGGTTTCTCAAATAATTGCATATGCAATACATTGATGAAAATGTGTCCAAATAATATAAAATATCAGGAATATAATAACTTAGGATTGTAGTGCAAATTTTAGTCAAAGGATCTTGGGTTCGAGTGGGACATACACGTGATGTCTTGACAACATGAGTTGATAATAGACTTCCATTTCTATAGTGCGTGCGTAATACAGTGGTATGTCTCTATGTACTCTTTTATCCAGTAACAAGACAAAATAAAAAATTAAATAAACAAGAACAAAGAAAGATTAGAATTGTTGTGTTGTATGCCAGGTCAGTTTCATAGTCATTTTGACAAAAATTGGGTCTGTGTTTCTGATTTAAATGTCAAATCTGAATATACAGTATTATTAATAACTCATTTCCATGTTTGATACCATAAGACACTTCACTTAAGTTTCTTTCATTGAAAATTTACCAATGCTCTCCAGAACATTGGAAAAGAATGTGAAATTTCCTGTTTGTTTTCTAATGATTATTTCCATTAAATGCTTTCTAATGTGTCATAGTACTGTAGTATTATTGTATGTTGCTAAATACATTATTTTGTTCTGGTGCTTTTCTTTCAATAAAAGTTGAAAAGAAAAATTTCAATTGCTCAATATTGTTGTATTCTTAGCTTATTTCATTTCATTTTCAAGAAAGGGCATCTCAAAATCACATCGGTTAAAATCGCTAATAACATATTCTGATAGTTTTATAATCTGATACTGTATTTTTAGCACCGAGGAAGTAATACTTTTTATTTTTTTTATTGCTTTGGGTGATGTACACTTTGACGCTATGATACGCCGTTTCAGATTGAATGTATGGCTGCAAATAACCCAGAATAGTAATTTCTCAGGTTCTTAGCTTTTTGCCTAAAAAAAACACAGGCCTTTAAAAATGAAAAAAAAAAAATCATAATGTGATGCATGAAAAAAGGAAGAGGACTTGGTTATACAGTATTTTCTAAAGGGCCACATTTTTAAAATGGTGTACAATTTCTTGTGTGTTCATTATTACAATCACTTATGGTAGCATTGCCTTTTCCTCATCATCTCCCCACAATATTCCATTAAATATAAAAGCAGCACAATCTGTGAACACATTTTAGTCGCTACTTAAAAACTATTTATTTCAACAAATAATTGTTTAATAATTTATCTCTTTTTTTTCCTTTACATCATAGTGGCCTGATCTTGGTGACAGGGTATGAGTACCCGGTTGTCTGTGGCAGACGACCAGGTGCTCGGAGTCTGCTACCGTAAGTGATTTAATGTAAAACCTGCTCCTTTGTTGAGCCATCTAGGTAGGGGACCAGGGCAGACAGAGGCAGATGGTTGACCCTTCAAGTCCTAGCACTGTTTTGCCACCACACCTTTATACATATACAGTCATCATGATTTTTGTTTTATAATTTTATGTATAAGTGCATTGAGGCACTGTGCAATATGCGCTATATAAATGTAAGTTATTAATATGTTATATATGTTTTATGCTATATCTGCCATTCTGCCAATGAATCCTTCCAATGATCTTCAAACATCTGGTGTAATGGACCTTCTGAAGTGGCAATCAGAACAGGGCCGTTTTTACGTGTTTGCGTATATTTAGCAATAAGGAGCATTCGATTGCGGTAGAATCTAGAACATAATGACGTCACTAATATTTATCTGCGCATGCGAGAACGTTAAGTTCTCGTCGTCGTGTGGAGGATGCAATTCGATCAAATTGAGAACCCGTGTGTCATCGCACCAAAGCGAAAGCTCCCTAATATATCGAAGCGTTGGCGGTTAGCAGAAAGGTCAATTACTCTAGTGACACCACTGATCTTTAAGCACATGGGCTGGGCTTTTAAAGTGTCCAAAATGTGTCTCCTATAATCTGCAAGAATGCGTGTAGCGTGGAAATGGAATCACATCTTTGATATTTTCCACACCCAGTAAAAACTGTAAATACCGCTCAAACCCCATTCCAAAGCCTGCATGTGGGACCGAACCAAACCTCCTCAGATCCAAGTACCATTGGTAATCGTCAGTTAATCTGTTATTTTGAAGTTTTTCCTCCAAGACAGCAAGTCTGTCTTCTCTTAGGCTTCCTCCAACTAATTCTCCAATACCAGGAACCAACAGATCTACTGCAGACACCTGTTCAGAAAAAATAAACTGCCTAATCAATGAGGTGTATGATAGACGAAAACTTGGGCTAAAATATATTGCAAGAGCAGTGACCAATTGAAAGGTTTTGTCAGTTGGTCAGAACACTATTTTCGCAAACTTTGAAATGAATATTTCCAAGAACCTATAAACTACCACTGGGGGACATCCAGAGGTCTAGGCATTTCACTCTACGTAGTTACCAGCGTTTATCTGTGCTCTGTGACTGGTCTATGAAAACAAATGCCAAAGTAAAAGAAAAAAAAAAAGAAAGTAGGGGTACATAAAACCTGCAGTGTTTTTAGTTGTTGAAGTATTCAAAAGAAGATTTGTGTCCGGAAAAACGAAATTTGCTTGCTGGCTGGAGTGGATTTCCCCCAGTAAAAAGTTGAGAGACATAAATGGCGTTGTTTCAAAATAGACCCGATAAAATTGCCATCCATCACTTGGTCAACACAATTTTTTTTTAAATAAGTTACTCTAAAATAAGCACTTCTTCACATATATATATTTATATAAACTCTGCTTAAAATCTTGCAAAAAACCAACTTACTGTCTGTGAACTGTCATTATTGTCTTTGGCATAAAATGCTTTAACTGCACTTGGAAAGTTGACCACGAAAACAGGTGTGTCATCAAAATATTGCACCAAGAACACCTCATGTTCCGTATTTAAGTCACAACCCCACTGCAAAAAACAAAATAAAAAATATACCAATACAGATAACATAACTGGTGCAGTAAGCAATTATTTGCTTGGAGAGTTTCATTTTCAGTTTCTGTTATTGACATCATAATTGCAGCCAATGCTGAATTACATGATATTTACAAGGAAATGAATAATAAAATATCAAAATTTCAATCAAGCACAAAACATGAAAAATGGAGTTAAAGTCACATTAAAAACATTAAAATTTCACAAAGATAAAAAAAAACATTATATGAACAAATATCAATTATTTTCAATTATCAGTTATTTTATCATTATTATTATTAAACTACAAATAATTATCATTATTGTAATTATTATTATTATTATTATTAAATATACAAATTCAAGTAAAAAAGAATTCAAGCATTGCACAAAAGTCAATTAAAATTACACCCAAATTATTATTATTTTTATTATTATTATTATTATTAATATTATTATTATTATTATTATTATTATTATTATTATATTTACCTACATTTAGGCTGTCGTTTGTGAGAACTTAGGAACAATTGGTCAATTGCTGTATTTAAAAAATACATTTTTTACTTACAAATGGATTATTGGTAAATTTGTCTGAGTGTTTTTCCAGTAATGAAATGGCTTCTGAGTAAGTTATCCTGTCAGAGAAAATAAAAATTCTCTAGGTAAAAATATTCCAGTGAATTCATGACAAAAAAATCTATGATTTATTAATACAGTTTTCAGCAATAAAAGAAACTAATAATTTGTTAAAACTTACATATTAAAATTAGACAGCAGCATCTTTTCAATGGTTTTCTGAAAAACAAGAACCAAAGTTGAAAACTTTCATATAATAGGAATAAAGAGAGACATTTTTTATATACCTATAGCAAGCTTTTTTTTAAAGATCGTCAGAGGAGGGCAGAAAAAAAATATATAATTTTGTTTTCTCATTTAGTACAATCATTTTTCCAAAACCATCTTTAGGTGGAGAAGAAAATAAAAATAACATTTCATTAATAAATTAAAAGTCAGGCTCCGGAGGAAACAAATTTTTTGATATGTTGTAGAACTGATTTTTCTAAGACAGAAAAAAGTTGTTTGACGAAAAATCAGTTCTACAACATATCAAAAAGTTTTTTTCCTCCGGAGCCTGACTTTAAACAGTGTAGTACTGAGATTGATAAATGCTTTAAATTTATATAATTAAAGGAAGAAATATATGTATCTTATGTTTGGAGATTTCAATGGAGTGGAGGGAATAATAAGAAGTTACATGCTTGTGAAATAAATGAGTGTCTTCTTCGTTTGTTGTAAGTATACTCTTAGTTGTTTCCTTCACCAATTCCTCAATTAGCTGAATAGCAAAGTAAAACAAAGGTAACCTAGCAATTTTTACTGATGAAGTACTGTAAATATATTTAATCATCATCTGCTACGCTGTTTCGTCTTGGGAAGATATTACGTACGTTTATTGTTTCCATGACTCTCTTTCAGTGGTCTGGTGGTCTGTCATTAACATTTCAATGGATGTATTTACATGTTTAAGTTCCTGGTTCATTGCTGCAACCCATGTTGCTTTTGGCCTGCCCACTGGTCTTTTAACATTCCTAACATATTATTCTGTTAACGCAACTTTGGCTGGGGTGTCCATTGGTAAATTTTAACATGTGACCTGTCCATCTTAGTCTTCTTTTCTTGATCAAAACTGATCATTTCTCTTCTTTTGTTCTGCTATAGCCTGGTATTTTTGATCTTTATTTATTTATGGCCATTTGATTTTAAGAATTTTTAACAGGTTCCTATGAAGGCAGTCTATTTCTTTCTCTTGTTTGTCAGTTAGCGTCCAAAGTTCGGAGTTGAACTCCGAACATAAATGTTTCCAACATATGTATTGAATAGTCGTCATCTTACTGCTAGTGATATGTTATCACTTGTTAGTGCTTCTTTATGTTGATTAAATGCTAAAGAATTAAATATATTTAATGGCGATTTTAAATTTAAGGTTACTATGCGCTATGAGTGCCATCCATGCTTATGAGCTAAATTAATGAAAGGAAAGAAGAAAGAATTCAAATAAAGGGGGCCTGGGGAGGTTATTTTAGAAATGAAGGGTCCATATTACTACAGCCTACCTATGGTTGGAAATTCTATGTTTATGGCACCGGAAGGTGGCAACAATTGGCACTATTAAGGCCAACTCAGCCAGCCCCTAGGTGACAACAATTCCCATCGCGCTGCGTCGTTTGACGCTGTCTGAGTTGCCCTTTACACTTAAAATTGAATACAATTTTCTTCTTTCTACATTTAAAAAATATTTTCAAAATTTAGGGGTGGGGAGGGGGGTTGGCCTCTGACACTCACTTTGTGAATAAATAATAAATACATATTATTTTTTTTCTAGTACCTGTGTTATATCTTCTATTGTATTTGTGTGGATAATTTCAGCCTCAATCATGTAGAATTCTGATAGATGCTTACGACTCCTTGAATTCTCAGCCCTGAAAGTTGGTCCCATGGTGTACACTTTGCTATGAGAACTGCAATATATTAATGGGAAAAAAAAACTATTTGAATGCTGTTTAAATACAAAAATTTAATACACAACTTAACTTATGTGTGCAGTTGGCACAGTGGTTGCATTTTGGTCTCTGAAACTTGAGGTCGGAGGTTAAAAACTTCACTTCATTGTGAATTTTGCTTGGGCAAGGCAATTTACCTATGTTTGTCTCTTTCCACCCAGGAGTATAAATGGGGACTTGGTAGGATTATGTGGCATCGATTGTATTAGTCTGTATCGACATTAAATTGCAAGCACGATTAAGAATACTCCCCAGGGAGTAGAGGAGGTTGCACTTTGTGCTAGTTTTAATATGGATCTGATGACCAGGGGTAATAAGGGAGCTTTCGATTTGTGGGACGACGCGACGCTAGAACGGAGCATGCAAAGTGTACTTGTTTCGCTTACCATGCTATGGCTTCTAGGTGCAGCTGACCAGAGACTGTGAGATACGCTGGAACATTGAAAAAATGAATCTTGTCATCCTCTACATCAACCTTCATAGACTGTAACAACAAATAGGAATAAAGATTTTCAATCAATATACAGGTCTCTCTCTAATTAAAGACCCCTCCAATTAAAAGAACCACCTCCAAATAAAAACCACTATTTTGTGGTCCCAAATCAACAAATGTCTTTTATCTTCATTATTCTAATTAGGGACCAAAGCTGCTAAAGACTATGGAAACCTTGGTCCCACAAGTGGTTTTTAATTGGAGGGAGATCTCTAACTAGAAATATCTATCTATTACAATATATTTCACACTATACATAAGCACTATAAAAAAAAAAATGGATAACTGCATCATTGGTAAATCTAGGCACTCACTAGATATGCCATCTGCTGATTGTCGGTGGCGATCTTATCGGATCATAAAAAAGCAATCTGTTGTGTGCGCATAGTGGCGTTTTGAATCAAGTCAACCAATGACCGTGAATGTCTGGCTCAAGACTGAAATGTTGATACCAGTTCAGATTCTGACCATGCAACATTCAAATGTTAACCTATAATATTACTACAGTATTATTAATTGATCTTATGTAGCAAGCAAATAATTTTTTTAATTGGCCAAAAGATGGTTAATAAGTAAATATGAAGTTTAAAAAAAAAAAACCAAACCTCAACACTAAATAATTCTCCCGCCCCTTCACAGTCATTGGATGTAATAATTGGCGTGTGGACATTCAGGAACTCTCTCTCCTGGAAAAACTTATGAACTGCCATTGTTGCGGCATTTCGTATCCTTAATAGAGCACCGAAAGCATTTGTTCTTGATCGTAGATGAGGAAACTGACGAAGAAAATCTCCAGAGTAGCGGCTTTTTGGCTTGAATGGGTACTCCTAAAAGTATGGTTAATAAACACGATACTGTTAAGAGCGTAAATGCCAGGGGCCTATCCTGCCTGAATGGTAAGGGGGCGTGAATGTGCGGGCAGGGCGAGAGTTTTAGGGCAAAGCTTCTTTTAGCGGTGTAAAGGGCACTACTCAAATATGAATAGGGAATTGTCTTCTAGTATACTGAACTTAGTGTAATAGTTATAAAGCAAAATATCTTTTTAGTAATTTAAGTCATTTACTATTAAATGTATGCATTTGTGTTCATTCAGAGTATAACAACAGTGTGCATTAGCCTACATTCATAATTTTAGGAAAGAAACTAAATTAATTTAAAATTAATCTTCTGAGTGAGTATTCTTTTCTCCCTAGAAATTGAAGTATTAATTTGTCTATTTGAGAGTCTTTTAAGTAAAACATTAAAAGAAAAAAACACATTTTATCATTTTCAACTATACAGTAATTTCTTATAAAATAACATACTGTAAAACCTTGAATTGATGCCCTGTGCTTTTTTTATTTGCGAACTTTGGATGAGATTCTTTTCAAGGCTACATACATATGTAAAATAAATAGGGCTGGTTTCTTTTTAAAATGAATGCTATAAATTTTGGGAATTACTATTATAAAACAATAAATAGGGCCGCTGTAACATGAATACGTATCATGGAGTGTATTAACCGGCATTAAAACACCTAAACTACTGTATAAACCAAGCGTCTGTAATGTAATTTATTTTGTTTCTTTGTAACTTATGTACAGTAATATGTATATTACCTCCAAAAGAATACCATGCTCTCTTGAAAAGAAGCCCATGGGCTTCTTTTCAAGGCTAATTTTGCAAACTAAAGAGAGGGCTTCAATTCCAGATGGGCTTCTGCTCGAGATTAAGCCCATTGGGTTTCAATTCGAGGTTTTACGGTATCCATTTCTGAAATTTACCTGTGCATCGCATTGCCCTATTACTCTGATGTCATCTGCCTTCACCTCCAAAGACTGTCCAGACGACTTGCTACCCACAAGCGTTCCTTCTACCTCCACCGAGCATCCAAATGTTACACCCCTGTACAAATAATGGAATAAACTACATGATTAACAAACTCACCATTTTGGAATCAAGTCATGTCCTACTGGGTGTCTGATTTCCTTTTATATATCTTAAGTATATAGAATAGAATAGAACATTTATATTATAGTGCTGTTATCCGTTATATAGCATGCTTCATAATCCTCCATGGGAAAAGAAAATGCCAACTCACTCATGCATCACATCTGACTTGGTTACAACTTGAAGACATCTTAGGCAGGAGCCATCATTGACATCAACGAAAGTAACTCCTTTATGTGATCGGACAGATCGTACCCATCCCTGAAAAAAAAAATTAAATTAGTATTACTATATAAAGTCAGCTATTCACTGTGCCCCCCGGGGGTCGTTGGTTGACATGATTCTATGGAGAACGTAGCGCCACTACGTGCATGCAACACATCATGTTTAATGACGATCCGTTCAGATTGCCAGGCAATCAACACAGTGTTGCGTTGTCTAGCGCTCACAGGAAGCAGCGTTAGATTCTATGTATGATGGTCATATAAGACGCACTGAATGCTGGCCTTAGCCTTAGCAATTGAAATCGTTTAGCTTACTTATTACATTAAAAAATCAGTTGTACAAAATATCAAAACATTGTTTTCCTCTGGAAAATCCTTTGAGACAAGGTTGAATTGCGCACCGACTCATCACGAAAAAGGCTGTGTAATCGAATAGGCGTTCTACTGGCTAAAATATCTTAGGAAGCCCATAGGCTAGCCTAGGGCCCTTTATTTGATTAATTAAAAATGTTATTTATATGTTAATATTATATACTTTCTGTCTCTTATACACATCTAGATGTGCATAAGAGCCAGGTATATGTACTATACTACCTCCACAAGAATACCATGCTATCTTGAAAAGAAGCCCATGGGCTTATTTTCGAGGCTAATTTTGCAAACTAAAGAGAGGGCTTCAATTCCAGATGGGCTTCTGCTCGAGATTAAGCCCATTGGGTTTCAATTCGAGGTTTTACGGTATCCATTTCTGAAATTTACCTGTGCATCGCATTGCCCTATTACTCTGATGTCATCTGCCTTCACCTCCAAAGACTGTCCAGACGACTTGCTACCCACAAGCGTTCCTTCTACCTCCACCGAGCATCCAAATGTTACACCCCTGTACAAATAATGGAATAAACTACATGATTAACAAACTCACCATTTTGGAATCAAGTCATGTCCTACTGGGTGTCTGATTTCCTTTTATATATCTTAAGTATATAGAATAGAATAGAACATTTATATTATAGTGCTGTTATCCGTTATATAGCATGCTTCATAATCCTCCATGGGAAAAGAAAATGCCAACTCACTCATGCATCACATCTGACTTGGTTACAACTTGAAGACATCTTAGGCAGGAGCCATCATTGACATCAACGAAAGTAACTCCTTTATGTGATCGGACAGATCGTACCCATCCCTGAAAAAAAAAATTAAATTAGTATTACTATATAAAGTCAGCTATTCACTGTGCCCCCCGGGGGTCGTTGGTTGACATGATTCTATGGAGAACGTAGCGCCACTACGTGCATGCAAAACATCATGTTTAATGAAGATCCGTTCAGATTGCCAGGCAATCAACACAGTGTTGCGTTGCCTAGCGCTCACAGGAAGCAGCGTTAGATTCCATGTATGATGGTCATATAAGACGCACTGAATGCTGGCTTTAGCAATTGAAATCGTTTAGCTTACTTATTACATTAAAAAATCAGTTGTACAAAATATCAAAACATAAAGGAGTTTCTTCCGGAAACTCCTTTGAGACAAGGTTGAATTGCGCACCGACTCATCACGAAAAAGGCTGTGTAATCGAATAGGCGTTCTACTGGCTAAAATATCTACTGCCTTAGGAAGCCCATAGGCTAGCCTAGGGCCCTCTCTAACCAATTTAATATGATAGTATGATGCATCTATTATTAATAATATATAATTATTGCACCGTCTAGGCCTAGCTAGGTGTCAACTTCTCATGTAATATCATAAGCTAGATTGAATCAGGATGACAAAGCTTAGCACACTTAAAACCTAGCCCTAATCTGGGCCAGGACGTGGGCCAGCCTAGGTTGGGTCGCCCTCTCTAGACTGGTGCAACCACCGGAATATAATAGTCTAGGCCTAGGCTCTAGCCTGACCTACCAACCTTGTTCTTGATAACTTGCCCGATTGCTCCTGCATCCAATTTTAAAACCTCGGATACACTCTTAAATGTAGAACATCGTCTTATGATACAAAGTTTTTTGAGTACGGAATTTGGAGTTTTGGAATTTCGAAAGAGTAATGAAGACGCACACGACAACGAAAATATTGTTTGTGCCATGTTTGTTCATGCTTCGTGCTGTGACCATTGTCTGCTCCTAAATCGTACAATTATGTTTAGTGTGTAATAAGAGATAAACATTTTTAGGAGGTAATATAAATCAAAATACATATTTATAAATTTTTTTGTAAAGGATAGTATATTTTTTATTTGAGAAACGTTTTATTTGATTAATTTAAAATGTTATTTATATGTTAATATTATATACTTTTTGACCATCAAACCAAAATCAGCAGTAGGTTTCAAAATGGTATGGTCTGAATGGAAGCTACAGTTGAAGTACAATTTTGCTTCATATGCTATGAAACAAAATATTAGCAATTATTTAGATTAGCAGACCTCTTGTTCATACTCTATTTTTATTTCAGCAAATATTATCAATTTATAACCTGAAATACACACTGTAGGCTGTAATCTGTAGTGGGCTACCCCTTTTATTTGGAATAACCTAAAGTTTTTACATTGGGTTGGGATTGGGATGCGGTGGTAGAGTAGAGGGCAGTCAGTTGCTATATAAACCTCACTGAAGAGGGAAAATGGAGGGCCAGGGGAATTTGAAGGGGAAATATGAAACCTCGCATACTGAAAAAAGCGACTAACATCATTCCTTAAAAATAGGGTCTTCAGACTTAATAAAATGCATTAACAGGGGCGGATTTAGAGGGGGGCTTAACAGGCTTTAGCCCCCACTAAAATTTCATAGCCATTTCTTTTTAACAGCTTTTTGAAGGTCCAAATTAAAATATTGTTTAATGTTTTCTTCACAAACATCATATTTATTGGCTAAACATTTTACAGTAGTTGTTTTTCAGTGACAAAATCAAAATGAAATACGTTTTTTAACCGATCAAAAAACGTAGCTAAGAAAGCTGCTTTTGCCTACTTTTCAAAGTGGGGGGGTGGGGGGGGGGACATGATATCGATTGTCCCCCCCCCCCCACTTTTTACCAATCTATAATTAAAACCCCACTTTTACAAGCGAATTGAAAGAATAACAATTACGCATGACTCATGAATTTTGTCTGTTCACTTTTCTAAATGCGGTACGTATTTTCCGGACCAAAACCAAGTAAAAACGCAATTGTTTAAACATTTTGTAACCATCTCAGAAACCCACTAGATCGATTTTATGAGTGCAACGAAAACAGCCCCTCCCCTGACGGTTTTTACCGGGCCGACCAAGCCGTCGTACCGGGCTGGGGAATAAGAGAAAAGAAAGAGGGGAGAGGGAGGGAAAGAAAGAAGAGGAAAAGAAATGGAAAGAAAGGGAAGAGAAAAATTAAGACAAGAATAAAAAGGAAGATATCATAATGACCAGACTCACAACACCCATGCAACCCCTTCTCCACTTCAAAAACTGTCATAACTCCTTTGATCTATGCTGCCCGAT